GTTCGCAACGTTGATTTCGCGCATCGGCATCAACCTCGTGAGTTCGGTGCGCACGTGCATCAAGCTCGAAGCTTCGGCGCGTGAAGCATGGAAGCGGCTCGAGACGATGCACGTGAACAAGACTCTCCACGGCAAGATCCTAGCCCGAAATGCGTTCTACACGGTGAAGTTGCGCGCGGGCGAATCGATGCCGAGTATGCGACTCGTGTGGAGGAAGTCGGGGAAACGTTCATGGACCTCGGTGGAACGGTCACGGAGGAGGATTGGATTCTCACCTTGCTTTGCGGCCTTCCGGAAGAGTGGTCGACGGTGATTACGACACTCGATAGCGTGCAAAACACTTGGACGAAGGAAATGGTGGTCGGTCGGCTTCTCCATGAAGAATCGCGACGCCGACAATTCGCTAACGAGAGCGTGGAGACCGCCATGTTCTCCGGAGGGAGCTCCGGAAAGAAGTCAAAGTGGAGCAACGGTGAGGCAAAGAAGTCGTCCGGTGGAAACGGTCGCGGCAAGGGCAAGTGTCATTATTGTCGCAAAGCGGGGCACTTTTGGCGTGAATGTCGGAAGCGGCCGAGCGATTGGATTCCATCGAAGGCGCGGAACCAAGAGGGCAACGCGCACACGGCATCCGGCGAGGCGGATGATTCAACGGAGTCGCTCGTTTTGTTGGCCGGTGACGGGATCAACACTTCAAACGACGCGTGGTTCCTCGACACCGGTGCAACACAACACATGACGCACTCGGCGTCGCTCCTCAACAACGTCGGTACTCCGGGAGACGTCAAGCGCGTCGTCTTCGGGAACGATAAATCGCTACCGGTGGTTGGAGTTGGGAGTACGCGTCTCATCGTCGATGGCGGGCCGGTGGACATAACGAACGTGCTTCACGTCCCGGGATTGAAGGTGAATCTACTCTCCGTCACTCAACTCGCAAAGAAAGACGTGAAGGTCACCATCGATGGCGCGAAGATGAACCTCTTTTGGAAGGGGAAGCAATTCGCGCAAGGCGTTCTCAACGGACAACTCTACCAACTCAAGACGCATCCGACAACGGCCTCATCCAACGTGGCGCAAGGCTCCAAGGCGACTCTCAAAATGTGGCATAATCGGCTTGCGCACGCCAACTACGACTCGGTCAAAGAGTTGGCCAACAAAGGACTTGCGAAGGGATTTGACGTGATCGCCGGCAACGACGAGAAGGGCGTGTGCGCGGCGTGTGTCGAAGGAAAAATGGCTCGCAAGCCATTTGGTAGCCGTACCTCACCCCTCGCAAAGGACCCGCTTGCGCTTGTTCACATGGACGTGTGTGGACCGATGCGGCATGCATCAAAGGGAGGAGCGCGGTTCCTCTTAGTGATGCTCGACGACGCGACGCGGATGAGTTGGACCCGACTCTTGAAGGCTAAGGGAGATGCGGCCAAGGCGATTCAAGAGTGGGCGCTCGACGTTTGCGACGACGGCAAGAAGCGGATCAAGTGCATTCGCACCGACGGTGGCGGCGAATTCGTGAGCAACGAGCTTGAAAAATGGATGAAAAGCAAGGGCATTAAGCACGACGTCACGACACCCTACACACCCCAACAAAATGGAGCGGTAGAGCGGCTCAATCGCACATTGATGGAGGCCGTTCGTTCACTTCTTCAACACTCCAAGCTTGGGAACGAGTGGTGGGGAGAGGCGAGTGCGCTAGCGGCATGGATTCGTAATCGTGTGCCAACAAAGGTGCTACCGGGAACGACTCCGTTCGAAGCATGGACCGGAACGAAGCCGAACCTATACCGCCTACGCACCTTTGGGTGCCTTTGCTACTACCATGTACCGGATCCACTTCGCCACAAGTTGCAACCGAAAGCTCGTGCGGCGATCTACTTGGGGATTGCGGCGAACGAGCGTGGCGAGTGTGGGATTTGGATGAAAAACGCGTCGTCACGTCTCGGGATGTGATCTTCGACGAAGTCAAGTTCCCGACAAAGGAGAAACAAACGCCGCAACTCACCGTCGTCCTTCCCGCATGAGAGGAGGATGAAGCGGTGGAGGTTTCACCGCACGTGAAGAAGGGAGCCGAAAGTGGAGGGGGAGAGAACGAGGAGTGCGATGATGATGTCGAGGAAGTGCCACCAACCGAGGAGGCCACTTCCTCCGCACCTTCTTCCCTACCATTGGCGTTGACTCGCGGGCGTCGTACACCTCGCCCCAACACGAGGTTAACCGACTATGCTACGGTCGCCGTTGGGGAGTCGGATGAGGAGAGTGCGGCGATTTGCCTAGCGACCATCGGCGACGATAACCCACGCACTCACAAGGAGGCTTTGGCTTCCCCAGATGCACCGCTATGGAAGCAAGCGATGGAGAGGGAGTTAGCATCGATCAAGGAGAACGATGTTTTCGAGCTCGTCGACCCGCCGAAGGGTGCCTACTTGGTGGGATGCAAGTGGGTGCTTAGGAAGAAATTGGGAGCCGATGGAGGTGTCGAACGCTACAAGGCGCGGCTTGTGGCGCAAGGGTACACTCAACGGGAGGGGGAGCACTATAGTGAGACCTTCGCTCCCGTTTCGAATGCCTCCACTCTTCGGGTGTTGCTCGCGCTAGCGGCATCTCTCAACCTCGAGGTGGAACAATTGGACGTTTGCACCGCCTTCCTCTACGGGCTTCTCATGGAAGAAGTCTACATGCGGCAACCCCCGGGGTACGATGACGGTAGCGGTCGGGTGTGGAAGCTCAAGCGTACCCTCTATGGCTTGAAGCAAAGCCCACGCGGATGGTACAAGCGCATCGACGACTTTCTTCTTCAACACGGCTTCGCGCGTAGCGTGTGTGATAGCGCTTTGTACGTGTTGAAGGAGGGGGAGAAGCAATTGGTGCTTTTGCTCTACGTCGATGACCTCCTTCTTTTCTCCGACTCCAAAGACCTCATTCGAGAGGTCAAGCAACGGTTAGGGGCGGAGTTTGCCATGAGGGACTTGGGACCGGTGACGTACTACCTCGGGATGCATGTCGACCGCGACCGCGCGAACGGGACCATTCACCTCCACCAAGAAAAATATGTGAAAGGGGTTGTGGAGCGCTTCGGCATGGGTAATAGCAACCCGGTGGGGACGCCACTAGACACGGGATTTTCTTGCCTCCCGGGAGAGGAAGAATCCGCCCTCGACGAAGCCGAAGGGAAGCGGTTTCATTCGCTAGTCGGCTCACTCATGTATGCCGCCGTTTCCACCCGTCCCGACCTCTCATACGCCGCCGGGGTACTTGGACGAGCCGTAAGCAACCCTCATACCGAGCATGTGCGTGCGGGAGGACGTGTTCTACCTCCAAGGCACACCCAACTTGGGAATCGTATATGAAGCCGGTCCAATTGTGCTTAAGGGCTACACCGACTCGGATTATGCCGGTGATCAAAGCAAGCGCAAGAGTACCGGCGGGTACGTCTTCACCTTGCTTGGGGGAGCCGTGAGTTGGCAAAGCAAGTTGCAACCAACCGTGGCTCTAAGCACAACGGAAGCGGAGTATATGGCACTCACTCAAGGAGCCATGGAGGCAATATGGCTACGGCGCCTTCTAGCGGAGCTTGGGCATCCTCAAGCCGACCCAACTCCTCTCTTTTGTGACAACCAAGCGGCCATAAACCTCACTCACAATGCCGTCCTTCACGGGCGTACCAAGCACATTGAGGTGAAGCATCACTTCATTCGTGAGGTGGTCGAGAGAGGTGAGGTCAAGGTCACATACATAAGCACCAAGGCGCAACCCGCGGATTTCCTCACTAAACCACTCCCTAAGGATTCATTCCGTGCATGCCGTGAGCGTGTTGGTATGAACACCTAGTGGCTTGGGTGCAAGGGGGAGTGTTGGAAGGAAACGGTGGTGGGGCGGTGGTATGCCCCCAACCCACCGAGGGCACTTCGGTGCCTTCGATCCCTTTGACTAGGGATCGGTGGGGTGGCACCGATTGACTTCGGGAGACTCACCCTTCGGTGCCACGTGGCGGCACCACATTCCAACCTTCAAGTGCAAGGCGAATTCGGTGTGTTCGGTGTGAAATTCGGTGGTCGAATTTCACCCCAACCGAAATGTTACACGCGGCGCATTCGCGACGCGAGTGTAGCGATGTGATGTTACATGTGCGGTTCGATGTAATGCATTTGCTATAAATCGACCTGCCTTGTATGCATGCTTTATACTGAAATCCTGAATCTTCTTGTACATGGTCCATTCGAACCAAAATTCCAGAGAGGTCTATCCTTGCTTCTAAGAGCACTAGCAATCACGTGAACGCCAATATCTCGGCGTATACTTGGGCGATTAACGTGTTTGACGGCTTGTTGGAAAGCCAAGACTGTGCTCTATCGTTTAGTGCAACTTAGAGTTCCTGCAAAGTAGAGGAGACGCCTCTACAATAGAAAGCACAAGCAGAGGCAGGAGCAGCAGCAGCAGCAGCAGCAGCAGCAGCAGCAGCGGAGGAACAGACTGCATTGCAACCCCAAGACCACCAAACCCAGAAACAGCAGCAGCAGCAGCAGCAGCAGCAGCAGCAGCAGCAGAAGCAGCAGCAGCAGCAGCAGAAGCGCAAGTCCCCACCTCCCTCTACTCCTTTCCCCAAATACCGCGGAGTGCGGCAGAGAAAGGCAGGCCACTGGGTGGCAGAAATAGAGGACACAGCTAAAAATGTGCGCAGGTGGCTCGGAACATTTTCCACTCCCGAAGCTGCTGCCCGTGCATTCGACAAAGCTGCCCGAGAGCTCCGTGGGCCTCGGGCAAAGACGAATTTTCCGCTGCCCGAGGAGGAGGCGGGCAGTGGTGGAGAGAGGGATTATAACAGGGAGAGGGATGTAAGGAGAAGGCTTCCTAAACGAGGTGTGGATGTGCGTGGAATTTCTGATTCTGCTGGTGGTGATAAGTACGATCAAAATGTGGGTGGGATGTGTCATGGTGGTGTGGGTGGGGAAGAGTCGTCATGCCCTAGAATTGATGCACCAGTATGGGAAGGGTCTTGCAATTTCAGCATGAATGGATCGAAATCAAAGGGGGAGCCGGTTTCTGCGAGGAGTGTGGATGGGAAGGAGCAGGAGAAGTGGGGCCAGGAGCAGGACCGAGAAGAACCTGAGGAGGAGAGTGCGGAGGGGAGTGGGGAGGAAAATGATGGAGGGAAGGATGGAAGGGAGGATGAGGATCATTATGCACGTGGATGCTTCAAGAATCTGGATTCGTTAAGAAGTGCGTGTGCAAGTGCAGGGAACACATGCATGATGGCTCTCGACTCAAGCGAGAGTGCATGTGCGGCTGCACGTATTCGCAACGGAACGGCATGGGCACGTGCTTTTGTGGAACCAGCTGACCCTTCTCCTGCCAGCTGTGAAATCACGGTTCCTAGCACCCAGTTTGCTGCACCTGTAAATCAGGAGATCGCACGTGAATGGCGTTTGCTGCAAGAGAAGGGATTGGAGATGGGGGGGGCAGGATATTTGGCAGCTTTGCTGAGGGGGGATGCCCCTAATGCCTCAAATATTTCAGACGGAGAGTCGTTGCTGCTTGGTGACTCTCTAGATGAGACACGGATCATGGGAGGAGCAAGCAATCTGGCACAGCTGATTCGAAATACCCCTGATGACCCGGTGATGGTAGATGGAGAGCGTATGCTGCTCAGGGATGCTCTGGAAGAGGGACTAGTCGCAAGAAATCTAGCAGTGGTGGTTGGGGATGCTCTTGAAGGGGCAATGGTCCAGGGAGGAGTGGATGATCGGGCAGGGCTAATCAGAGATGAGTTTGGTTCTCCAAATGGCTTCCCGAATGTCTTCCCGAATGGCTTCCCGAATGGTTACTCTGAGAAGATGCCGCTACACTCACATGACTTTGGGTGTGCAGGGAATAGGAAGCTGGCAGGGCGGTCTGGAGAGACAGGGGAGGAAGGGGAGCGTAGGGAGAAGGCGTGGAAGGAAGGCGAAGAAGGGATGCAAGGGGATGCAGAGGAGTGGGATGTGGTTCCGAGCTACATCCAGGAGGTTGTTGCTGCTGCATCTTGTGAGTCAGGCAATGCTGGGATGGACACTTGGCTACTGGAGGACATAATGCCGCTTGATGGATGACTGCAGCGTGTGACTATGGAGGGTGTAGCTCCAGAGAGTGTGACTGTGGAAGGTGTGACTGTGGAGGGTGTGGCTCCAGAGGGTGTGACTTTGAAAGCTGTGACAGCAGAGGGTGTGATTGCAGAGGGTGTGACAGCAGGTGCTGCAGGATAATGATGTTCAGGAATGAAGCACCACTAGCTGCTCTGGCAATGCTGGTGCTCGTGTGTCTGTGAGGTGAAGCCGAGTCACCTGCAAAGTGACTTCTGAATAGACTCAAAAGTCACCCGAGCCACATGCAGGGGGTTGCTGCAGCTGCATCTGCTAAGACAGACATTGTTTGCATCTGCTGAGTCAGACATTGCTGGGCTGGACTCTTGGATGCTGAAGGATAATGTGGCTGTTAATAGGCAGACTGTACAGGGCGTGACTGTGGAGGTTGTGGCTCCAATCAGCATCACTGTGCAGTGTGGTGTGACTTAAGAGGGTGCGACAGCAGCAGGTGCGGCAGAGGATGATGCTGTTCACTACCTGCTATGGCGATGATGGTGTTGGTGTGGCATCAAGTTAGTTCCTATACCTACATGAAAGTAGTTTGGTTTTGAGTCGACTCACAAATCAGTTTTACCGGTACTTTCATGCGACTTTGAAAGGCGTTGCCCGCATATTAGGCATAACAATGTAGGGCATTATGGTCTCATGTACGCTAAACTCTTATGTAATACCGCAGTACAAGTTACCCAATCTGCGCGCTTGCTTAGAGCCCAAGATTGCAAGGAACCATGTGCTTCCAACATGAAATAACTCCACAAACTCATGAGTTCCTTCCTCCATGGAACAAAAAAATCCATATCCAGAAAGGTATCACTGTGTAGCACTGGATAGCGCTAGGTAGTACAGGCAGAACTTGGTAGCACTCGGTGGCACTGGGCAGACCTGGGTAACACTGAGTGGCACTGGGCAGAACAAGCTAGCATAAGGTGCACTGGGTGACTGTCAAATGTAAGCAGTCGTTTTAAGGCAACGGTGCACATTCCTGGGGGTGTTTTTGGGGGGCATTGTTAGTGCACACCCTTTGACGCTTTCTGATTCGTCAGCGAAGGCTATCCTGCAAAAAAGTTGTGCTGGAGTCAAGCGAGTGGAGCACGTAGTCACGCTGTGCTGCAACGTGCAGTAACACCCGAAGAGTGGTCATCTTCGGGGTGGGGGAGAAGGTCTGGAAGAAGTCGACCCCCAGCACCTACAGCTCCGCCACCGGGGCTGCCCCACCAGACAGCCCACTCGCGAAGCTGCTGCGGCGAGAGAGTCTCCTGCCGACGTGCACCAGCACCTCCAGCACCAGCACCTCCAGCACCTCCATCACCAGCATCCCCAGCACCAGCACTTCTAGCACTAGCACCTCCAGCTACAGTACTTCCAGCACCAGCACCTCCAGCTCCACCACCGGGGCTGCCCCACCGGACAGCCCACTCGTGAAGTTGCCATGGCGAGAGAGTCTCCTGCCCACTCGGCTGCCGTTGACGTCCACTCCCAGAGTCTCCAGCAGGAGTACTATGAGGATCGATAGGATCGAATTCAGAAAATGAGAGATGTATTGAATGATTCACCTGGGGACAACACGAGGCTATATATAGTCTTGACACAAGGCCAGTAACCCAGGTGTTATGCGAATGTTCTGAGGGTCGCGAAGTGTCCCCAACAGAACCTTCCCGAATTCGGTAGAAGGCAATTTTGTGGCAACCGAAAGGCCTGAAATCCGGAACACGCAACCTGGTTCGCTGCTATAATTATAATAAAATATAGGAAAGCACCTAACCTAAGAAATCAAGCATAAGCATGCAAGATAAAATAAACCTATGCTAGAAATAGCATAATAAAGGCAAGGCAAGCTAGCAAAGCAAGCATAAGCTGTCGTACTCTCGCACGCCCCCCCCTCAAAGCTGGGTGGCGTGAGATACACCCTGCTTGACAAGATAATCCTTGAGAGCACGGCATGCGTTGCCCATATCAGCTTCTGCAACCCAGCTGTCTTCCGATGGGTCATATCCCGTCTAGTGTATCAAGAACTCAAGGGTCTTGCCGCCGCGGCGCTGATGAGTGAGAACACGTTCCACCTCGTACTCTGGTACATCCTATACGAGAACAGGTGGCGGTGGCGGTAGCTGCCATCCGTGGAACTATTGGTTGGGGTCGTTGTAGGGTTTGAGTACCTGAAAATGGAAAGCATTGTGAAACTTCCACATAGTAGGTAAGTGCAAGCGAAATGTTACTGGTGTCACATGTGCCTCAACGCGAAAAGGACCATAAAAGCGAGGCCGGAGCTTGGACAGAAGGTGAGAGAGATCCAAGTTGCGCGTGTCGAGGAGCACATGATCTCCGAATGCTATTGAGTGATCACGTTGTCAGAAGTAGCAGACAAGAATGACCTCACTATGATCAAAGATGAGTACAAGTAGGGAAACCTAAAAAGGGGTTGTACTCTATGTAAGCTACCCCACTATAGCCTACAAATATACAAACATAGTTTGACACACCCCCATAGGCAAAGTGGGGGATAGAAAGAATAACCAACGGTCACAAGACCAGTCAAGCAAGAGAAAAAAACAAAGCAAAGCTCAGGGTGGATCTCAAGATCACCACGCAGTCTGAGCACAAGCAAGCGACCACAAGACCAGTTCACATGCAGAGTTATGAAAGCACAAGCAATACAGTGATGACAACCTAGCAAGAGCAAGCATGCAGGTATACATATATATATATATAGACCACCGTACAAGACAAGTCAAGCAACCAGCAGGTGAGGCAGAGTAAGCACACAGCCTAGAGCAGTGCAGAAACATTGATGATGACCAAACCCAAGAGCCTTGGTGAAGACATCAGCAGTGTTGGCCCAAGAGGCCACGTAAGCAAGGCACAGCTGACCACGCTGCTGCAGCTCCCGAGAAAGAAAGTAACGAAGAGCAATGTGCTTCGTTCGGTGCTCCAGTCTCTGCTCCAGACACAAAGTAATCATGGCCTTGTTGACGACATACATAACTGGAGGAGAACGAGGCCGTTCACCCAAGTCGGTCTGCAGGTAGGTAGCTCCTATGCAGCCATAGCCCCAGCGTAGATCTCGGCCTCACAGCTGGAACCAAGCACAGAGGACAAACGAGTGGACCTCCACGAGACAGAGCCAGAGCCGAGACTAAAAGAGTAACCTTGTGACGACCAGTGAGTCGTTTGGTCATCAGCGCAAGAAGCGTCAGAGTCTCCTGTGACTACCACTGGACCCTGTCCTCCAAGCACGAGCCCCATGCCCGATGTACTACACAAGTAACGCAACACCCTCTGCTCAGCTGTCCAGTTTTCCTTCTTGTGTCTCCCAGGGCCAACGAAGCGAGCAGGGATGCTGAGTGGGTACGCGAGGTCAGGTCGTGTGCACGTCATCAGGTACGTGAGGCAGCCCACAAGCTCTGGATACGGGCCACTCGGCTCTACAGACTCGTCCGAAGGTGGAGCTGAGAGCGAGTGGCCGGTAGACAGAGGAGTGCACTGTGGCGAGGAGAACTGGAAGCTGAAGCGCTGAAGGACCTGGTGCACCATGTGTGACTGAGTCAGGGTGATGGTGCGTCGTGCTCTGTCCCAGGTGATCTGCAAGCCAAGATAGCTACGCAGCTCACCCAGGTCAGTGCAGGTGTGTCTCTCCTGCAGCTCTGCCTTCATTAGGGCCAGCGCCTCAGTGTCAGCAATAGCAAAAACCAAGTCGTCGATGTACACAAAGTCACCACACAGTCCGAGCACAAGCAAAGGGCCACAAGGCCAGTTCACATGCAGAGTTATATAAAACATAACAAACAATACAGTGATTATACCCTAGCAAGTGTAAGCATGCAGGTATATATATAGATCACAGTACAAGCAAAGTCACGCAGTGAGCAAGAGAGGCAAAGTAGGCACAAGGCCTAGCACAGTAGAGAAGAGCTGATGATCACCAGGCAGAAGTGCCTTGGTGAATATATCAGCAGTGTTGGCCCTAGTGGCCACATACGCAAGACGAAGCTGGCCAGGCTGCTGCAACTCTCGAGCAAGGAAGTATCGCAGAGCGATGTGCTTCCTTCTGTGCTCCAGTCTGTGCTCCTGACACAAGGCAATCATGGCCTTGTTGTCTACGTACAGAACCGGAGGCGAACGAGGCTGCTCTCCCAAGTCAGTCAGCAGATAGGTGAGCCAGCGTAGCTCCTGTGCAGCCATGGCTCCTGCGTAGATCTCAGCCTCACAACTGGAGCTGAGAACCGAAGACAAGCCGGTAGACCGCCACGAAACAGAGCCGGAACCGAGGCTGAAGGTGTAACCCTGGGACGTCTGCTGCGTAGCTGAGTCGTCAACCAGTGAGGACAATTGGACCCCGTCCTCCAAGCACAAGCCCCATGCCCGACGTACTGCACAAGTAACGCAGTACCCTCTTTGCAGCATCCCAGTGCACCTTTCGGTGCCTGCCAAGAGCCACGTAGCAAGCCAGGAGGCTGAGAGGGTACGCGAGGTCAGGTCGTGTGCACGTCATCAGGTACATGAGGCAACCCACAAGCTTTGGGTACGGACCACTCGCTCTACGGACTCGTCCGAAGGTGGAGCTGAGAGCGAGTGGCTGGTAGACAGAGGAGTGGGCTGTGGCGAGGAGAACTGGAAGCCGAAGTGCTGAAGGACCTGGTGCACCATCTGTGACTGAGTCAGTGTGATGGTGCGCCGTGCTCTGTCCCGGGTGATCTACAAGCCAAGATAGCTGCACAGTTCACCCAGGTCAGTGCAGGTGTGTCTCTTCTGCAGCTCCGACTTCACAAGGGTCAGTGCCTCAGTGTCAGCCGTGGCAAAGACGAGGTCGTTGACGTACACGAGGACGTAGAACGGCGGCAGCGACGTGTTGGTGCGTAGAAACAACGAAGGGTTAGCGGTAGAAGGAGTAAACCCCAGAGCCGCAAGTGTAGTCCTCAGTGTGTCGTGCCACTCGCGAGGCGCCTGGCGGAGACCGTAGACTGGCCGCCGGAGGCTCCATTGGGTACCTGCAGGAAATGACCCAGTGAAGCCTGGTGGGCGGCGCAGCCAGATCTCCTCGTGCAGGCTGCCCTGCAAGAAAGGTGTACTGAAGTCCAGAGAGTGCAACTCGTAGTCACGCTGAGCAGCGACGTGCAGCAACA